CCGGTGATAGATCTCCTGGTATCAGGGCATGAAGCCCAATCTGAATCTGAGAAGGCTTTCAACTGTAGAGATGATGAAGCAGAGAACAACACTCCTTGGCCAGGACTAGCTTTTAAGTATCGAAGAATTCTATGTGCGGCTTGCATATGAAGATCTGTAGGGCAGTCCAGAAATTGAGAAAGATGTTGGACAGCAAAATAAAGGTCAGGCCATGTATTGCATAAATAAATTAATTTTCCAATCAATTTTCTGTAGGAGGTAACATCTGGTAAAGGGGTCCCAGTATCTTTATCAAGTTTTTGAGAGGTAATCATAGGAGTAGATATTGTTTTGCTGTTTATAAAACCTGTTTCCTCCAAGAGATCAAGCTCATACTTCCTTTGGCTGAGATTGATGTCAGTCGTGGATCTGGCAACTTCTAAGCCAAGAAAGAATTTGAGTTGGCCGAGGTCTTTAATATTAAAAGTATCATGTAAGAATTCTTTGACATTATTTATCAAATCAATGTTATCACTTGCCAAAATGATATCATCAACATAATAAGGCTAAAAAATGAGAACCGGTTTGTTTTGTGAACAGAGAAGTATCAGAAACTTTCTCAGTGAATCCTTGAGACAACAAGGCATCAGTGAGTTTTTGATTCCATTGTTTACTTGCCTGTTTGAGACCATAGAGGGACTTAGTTAATCTGCACACTTTAGAAGGATCAGATGTTTCAAAACCTGGGGGAAGGGTCATGTAAACTTCTTCATGTAAGTCACCATGTAAAAATGCATTGTTAATATCCAGTTGATGCAAATGCCAATTTTTCATAGCTGCAACGGCAAGTAAAGTTCTAATAGTTGTTATTTTTGCAAATAGAGAAAAAGTATCAAGATAATCAATGCCATTTTGTTGAGTATAGCCCTTGGCAACTAATCTGGCCTTATACCTTTCAATGCTGCCATCGGCATGATACTTGATTTTGAAAGCCCATTTGCAGCCTATAGGACGTTTTCCTATAGGTAAGTCGGTTAAAACCCAAGTATTATTTTGTTCTAATGCTTTGATTTCAAGTGCCATTGCATCCTTTCAGCATTGTGATTTTATAGCCTCATTGTAAGTTCTAGGATCTTTGGTTTGGGAGATTTTAGTAGCAAAGATCCTACGAGAAGAAGATAATTTGTGAGTGGAATAGGTAGAGGATATGGGATGAGGGTTGGAGGTTTTGAAAATATAATTGGCTTTTAAGATTTAGTATTTGACAGTGATATTGGTCAAGATATGACAGAAGTGTATGAGGTCTGGATGATCTTCTAGGTTGAGTTTCAGGATGTGTACTTAGTATGGCATCTGGCGAAATGTTCGTAAAAGGGGATGAATCAATGGTCGTATTATCTGAAGTGGTAAAAGGTGGTGACGGATTAAGGAAAGGAAAATTAGTAGGTGAAGGTGTAAAGGAAGGTGGAGAGGGTTCTGCTAAAGGAACTTCATATTCTGTTGGTAGAACAAAGTTTGAATTATCTGTTAAAAGGGGATTAAAGTAAAAAGGGAAAGAGTATTCATGGAAATGAACATCTCTCGAGACAATGACCTTAGTTCTGAAATTATACAGACGAAAACCTTTAGTTGCAGAAGGATGGCCAAGAAATACACAAGGATCAGCTCTAGTATCAAACTTGCTTTTATTTGTATCAAGCGTAGAGGCAAAGCAAAGGCATCCAAAAACTTTCAAATGATCAAAATGAAGGAGCAGTATGGTAAAGAAGTTGAAATGGAGTTTTGTTTGAAATGATTGGGGAATGAGTTCTATTTATTAGATAGACTGCATGAGAAATACAATTAGACCAGAAGGGAAAGGGAAGTTGTGATTGAAACTTGAGGGCTCTGGCAACATTCAAAATGTGCTGATGTTTTCTCTCAACAATAGAGTTTTGTTGAGGAGTATATACACATGTAGTTTGATGAATTATACATCTTGAAGCGTAAAAACCAGGCATGTTAAATTCCAAACATTATCGGATCTAATACACTTTATTTTTGCAGAAAACTGAGTTTCAATCAAAAGACAAAAGTTTTGAATATGTTGTTTAGCTTCAGATTTAGTTTTCATAAGGTATATCCATGTATATCTATTCTTGTCATCAATTATTGTCAAAAAATATTTATGCCCATAGAAGGAATGAGTGGAAAAGGGGCCCCATGTATCAATGTGAATCAAATCAAAGTAGTTTGCAGAAGTAGATTGACTGATGGGAAATGAGAGCTTTCTTTGTTTGGCATAGTGACATATAGAGCAGTAATCTAAAGATGGTAGTGAAATAGTATGATCCAATTCTCTCAAAAATTTCAATCGAGTATTGGACAAATGCCCCATCCTAAAATGCCATACATCAGTGGCATTAGGCTTATTACAAAAGGGAATAGTAACAGAATTACAAGTAATCGAAGAATTACTAGAAACAGAAGGTATGACAAGCCTATAGAGGCCATTAATCTTTTTAGCTAGTCCAATCATCTTCCAGCATTGATGATCCTGGAGGATACAAAGATTGTGTTGAAAAATGAGACAATAAGGATATGAATCAGTAAACTTGCTAGTAGATATGAGATTGAAAGAAAAATGAGGTATATAAAGAACATTATGAAGTACCAAATTGGAAGAGAATAGAATAGTTCCTATGTAAGGAACAGAATCCTTTTGGTTATTGGGTAGAACTACATGTGTATTTGTGATAGGTGCATAGGTTGAAAAATTGGATAAGATATTGGTTATATGATCAGTGGCACCGCTATCAAGAATCCATTGTGTTTGATGAGACTTATTATTATCAATGGTGCATGAAAGAATGAATTTACCTGATTCATTGGCAATTGAAGTAATGGTTGATGTTAACTGATTGACCTGAGGTGTGGAGAAAGGAGTTGGTGCAGAACCAAGAGCAAGGTTGACCAGCTGAAGCAGACTCATGAGCTAATTGTATTGATCTTGGGTAATTGGAGAGGTGGCCATACTATTGGCGAAAGCGAATCCATTATGGACACTAGATATAGAGTTAGGAATTGAAGAATCTGGAACATCTGTGCCTTCATTTGCTAATTCATTGTTATAAGAAACTTGGTTGGCATGCACAGCTCTTGAACCAAATTTGCCTCCTCCTTTATAGCCAACTGGGTATCCGTGCTTTTTATAGCAAGTTTCAACTGTATGTCCTGGAGTGTTACAATGGCTATAGATTGGCTTGGATCCTGTATTAGTGTAGGACCTTCTTGAATTAGTGGTTCCTGAACTAGAGTTAGAAGAGGAAGGAGGTCTCTGAGATTGCTACGAATTTTGTGGAACAAATGGTCTTCGATTGTAATTAGATCATTGTCCTTGAGCCAAGAACACAGAAGCTGGTTCCTCAAACTTAATCATAGGATTGTTGAACTGTCACTCATGTTGAAGCACTAAAGAAAACAATTTGTTGATGTTAGGCAAAGGGTCCATCAAGAAGATTTGTGACCTAATTGTTGAGAAATTATCATTGAGGCCTTTCAAGAATCTGATAGAGTAATCATTCTGATAAGATTTCTTAATATCTTTGAGTGCTTGACAAGAACATTGGGGCTCACAAGTGCAGACTGGAACATGTATGAGAGTGACATATTCATCCCATAGAATCTTTAATTGGGTGTGATAATCAGTGACAGACAGTGAGTTTTGTCGGAAATTATAAATTTCTTCTTGCAATTATGAGATTCTTATATCATCTCCTTGAGAAAACCTATCATATAAGTCCTTCCAAATATCCACAGCATTATCTAACCACAAAATACTTTTGGCAATTGAAGGTGATAAGGAATGGATTAATCTTGAATATACCATAGTGTTGCAAATGGATTAATCTTGGATAAGTGGGATCATCCTTTGAAGGAATCGATATGCTTCCATCAACAAAACTAAGTTTATTTTTTGATAGTAAAGCCATTCGCATAGACCTAAACCATGAATGAAAGTTTGGTCCTGATAAAACTGGTGAAACTAACACTAGAGATGGATTCTCATTTGGATGAAGGTAGAACGGGTTTGATGGTGTATCTTCATACCATATTGGAATTTGTAGAGAGAGATAATGCATTTTGTTAATTTGAAGAGTAATACAGAAGGGGTTTATATACATCAAAAGGGAGGAAGAAAGGAAAAAGAAAATGCTAACAAACTCATAACTAACTCATAACTAATTTTGGTTGGCCAACTAATCTTGGTTAGCCAATCTTGGCTAATCGTGACTAACTTTGTGAGGTGCTGGTTTAGTCTCTAATAAATACCGTTAAAGACATGCTTGTGTTTCTCCCTCTCATCATTCATCTTCTCCACTTGACGTAGCAGAGAACCAAAGGTAGCAAGTTTCGGCCTTCTCTCTCTCTCTCTCTTTTCTTTCTTTCTCTCTTTCTTTCTTCTTCTTCTTTTTCTTCTTCTTCTTCTTCTTCTTCTTCTTCTTCTTTTGTCCTTTGTTCATCGTATTCATCTTTCTTCTCCATTGAGTAGATTTTATTTGTATTAATTATTTTAATTTTTATTAACTATTAAATATTTTAATAGTTTTAAGATATTATTTTTGTAATTATTAAATATTTTTATTGCTTTATGGACTTTATTACTATTTTCATTGTAATTTTAACTATATGTTTTTTCAATTTTTCTTATTTTAATAAATTATTTTTTATTTTATAGTTTATTCTTACTTTTCAATATTATTTTGAATTTAATAAATTATTTTTATGAAATAGTACAAGTTTAACTCAAAATTACCGAATAGTCTATTTTAGAAGGGGTAAAATAGTAAATTTAGTGAATTTTAGACAGTAAAGGTTTTTTTTTGGTAGAAGGAAGCAAGATTTTTCATCACTTTTCCCTTTACCGTTTTTTCCCCAAAAGTACTGGTTGCGGGACTTGATTCCGCGTCAATGTTAGAACAACCCAGCTAATACACCAACAAACCAGCCCTTGATTGTAAATACTTTTTTAAAAAATAAAATCAGACAGGGCTTAAGAATGAAAGTCACTAAAGATGGTGGTTCAAGAAGGGATGGGGATCTCGGTGACTGACAATGATAGGCATGGAAGGGGGAAGGAGGTGCCGCCACTATTACTTCTCTCCGCTCCGTTATATTAAGTGACGCGGTGGATTGTTATTAGTAGATGCAGAGTTTTGGCGAAGACTCTGGATCTCCTGCTGTCCTCCACACTTCACTAGCGTCTATCAAAAGCAGATAACAAGACTGCGAACAAATACAGTTGAGAATTGAGAGTGAAGATGGAGACATCAGTAGCAGTTCCTCATGTGCTCCTCTGCCCGCTCCCCGTGCAGGGCCACATAAACCCCATGATTAAGTTATCAGAACTCCTCTCACTTGCTGGATTTCACGTCACATTCCTCACCTCCGAGCACATCCACCGCCGTCTCCTCCGCTTTACCAACCTCAACTCTTCTCGCTTCGCCCGTTGTCCCGGATTCCACTTTGCAACTATCCCAGATGGTCTTCCATTTGATCACCCCCGCTCAGGTCCGCAACTCGTGGAATTGTTCGACTCCTTAAAGCTCACGTCCATCCCTCTTTTACGAGAGATGCTCGTTTCCAATCGATGGGGATCTGACGTCCGGCCGCCTGTAACATGTATCATAGCAGATGGTCTCCTGTCATTCACAATTGATGTGGCTGAAGAGCTTAACATACCGATTATATCTTTCCGTACAACCAGCGCTTGCAGCTTCTGGGCATATTTCTGTATTCCGAAACTCGTTGAAGCAGGCGAACTTCCTTTCGGAGGTAGGTTGAGGTTGCCGTTTGTCATTGAAGAGTCCAAATTTTCCTTTTTTTTTTCCTTCTTCTTCCGCTCTTGCTAGTTCAAGTGTTTTAACGTTTCTTTTTCTCTTGATCCAAAATAAAATTAAAAAAAAAAAAAATTGTAGGAGATGCCGACATGGACTGTCCGGTAACGTGCGTGCCGGGGATGGAAAGCTTTCTCCGACGGCGAGACCTCCCGAGTTTTTGTCGAACCAACAACTTGGGTGAACGTCCTTTCCAATTCCTTGTCACAGAGAACCTTAACGCGACTCGAGCATCTGCTCTCATACTAAACACATATGAAGACCTAGAAGGACCTATCCTCTCTCGAATTCGTTCTCATTGTCCGAAGCTGTATACAATCGGACCTCTCCATGCGCTATTGAAATCCCAGCTTGCAGATTCCTCACATTCCGTTTCGTCCAGTAGTAGTCTCTGGGAAGAGAACAAAAGTTGCATAACTTGGCTTGATTCAAAAGCTTTGAGATCGGTGGTGTATGTAAGCTTTGGAAGTTTAGCTACGATGACCAGAGACGAAGTATTGGAGTTCTGGCACGGTTTGGTAAACAGCGGAAAGCCGTTCTTATGGGTCATAAGGTCAGACTTGTTATCAGTAAAAGAAGGGGAGGATGAGATCCTGACAGAATTGGTAAAGGGGACGAGGGAGAGAGGGTACATAGTGGGATGGGCTCCCCAGGAAGAGGTCTTGGCTCACCCGGCCGTCGGTGGCTTTCTCACCCATAGTGGGTGGAATTCGACTCTGGAGAGTGTTTACGCTGGAGTGCCAATGATTTGTTGGCCCAAATTAGCGGATCAGCAGGTGAACAGCAGATTTGTCAGCGAGATGTGGAGGTTGGGCCTTGATATGAAGGATACTTGCGACAGATTGAAGGTGGAATTAATGGTGAAAGAAGTGATGGAGCAGAAAAGGGACGAAATGATGAAATCGGCGGAAAATATGGCGAAGTTAGCAAGGATGTCTGTCAGCGAAGGAGGTTCCTCTTCCTGCAACTTTGACAAACTGATCCAAGATATAAAATCGATGTGCCTCGGAGCATCTTAAGCATAACTCAGAGTTGTGTTTGCAAAGGAATTTACCTTAATGTTTGTATTACTGGTTTAGATCATGCGTGTGACTTCCGTGTTTTGGTTGATTTCCTTCCCTTCCGATCATTAATTTTAAAATGTTTAACATATTAATTTCGTAAATTCTGAGAGGCTCTAGCTAGGTGAAAAGTAAGGGATGACTTTATTTATTTATTTCTTCTGGACTGCCGATCTCTCTCCCTCTCCCAAGTCGACCTTGTCATGTAGCAAAATCACTGTGTAGCATGACTAGTTCACTCAATCACAAATAAGACAGCCTGCCTTTATCCATAAGATACAAGATTGCAATAGGAGTACACCAACTTTGTTAAGGGCTCAATTTCTTATTCACAAAGATCTTCCCTTTGCTGTCCATATCACAATTCCCTTTCCCCTGATCCCTCGGTTTCAACTTTCAACTCCACCGTGAAAATCAGCAGCTACCTTTGAGAGAAATTGTTGCATAGTTTGTTTGCATCTGATTTACGGTTTCAAACAAACTTTAATCCTACAAAGATACTTCCTGTGATCTGGTACGATTTCATCCTTGGCAGCATTTGATTGTGGGTACTACCTCGTCGGTGTTCCGGTTTCAAATACCTCCAGGCAATTAATCTTTGACGGGGTTTGTCAACCATGTCATGACATCTTAATTGGTAAATTGCTTGGGCACTCAGTTTAGATTTCAATTTCTTCAAAAAAGTCTTCTAGTTGTGGAATGCAAGGAGATGTTCTATAACATGAATGAGAAATTTCTTGTGGTAGGGATCAATCCATATTATACTACTGTCCATAATTGTTAAATAAAAACAAAATTGTGTCTTACACAGACATAGGTATTTTACGAGTATTGATTCCATACATCTTATATACAGTTTGTGAAATACATGATTGATCATGAATGAAAAAATCATAATTTAATTCAAAAATAATTTGCAATAATAATATAAAATAATATTGGATAGATAATTTAAAAGTAAATTTAATTATAAATGAAAATATAACAAAATATTAAAAAAAATGAGGATGATTGAGCCGTGAATTATACCGAATACTTCTCACAAATTGTCCACACCATGATGTGACCCTTCCATTGTTGCCCATAAATTAAAGTGTGACCTGTCCCTATGCACACTATTTTATAGACAAGGATGACCCACACGAAACCGAATGTCCCATTCTGTCTGTCCACTCAAATGGCTCAATTGATATTATTGATCTGAATAATAATTTTCTGGGTAAATTATTAAAACCTCTCTTTAAGTTTTGGATAATTATTAAAATTTCCCTTAAAATTTAGTATTTGCATTCACCACCTCTAAACTTATTGACATTACAAATAGATCTCCTCTCTTACAATCCTCTAACAATATGCATAAAAATGGTCAAAATACCCATATAAGTACTTTGATCTAAATGTTTAATTTCTAAATTTTCTCTTCATATCAATTATTACCCCAAGCACTTTCCGTCTCTTTTCTAAGTTTTATTTAATTTCTAAATTTCCCTTTCATATCAATCATTTCAAAGGTAACTTCAGATCTCTTTAAACTCTTATTTTTTGTTGTTGTTCATAAAGTGAATTCGCTTCGGTGAGTGCAACTTGCGTTTGATCACTGTTCAAACATCACAAGAAAGTGACATGCGTCCATAGGTGTGTGTCCATGCTAAATTCATGTGAGGAAGCTAAACAGAGTTTTAGCTATCACATTGTTAGCCATCCCTCAAATCAAATCAATTTTCTCATTTCCCTTCCTTCCCTCTTTTTTCTCTCTCTCCAGAATCAACCCACCAAAATCTGCAACCACGAATAACAACCCAGCACGTCATTTAACGTAATGGAACAGTGGAAAGAAATATTTAACGGCCGTTTTGATTGAAATGAATAATTTATTATTTTGTTAAAATTTGAATACCCGCCAAATTTTTTTATCATTATTAGATTCCCCTCTTTCTTTCTCTGACTCTGCCTCGTCATGCCTCCTCTGCTCTGAACTCTCCTTGTACCACCGTTCACCGGGGATGGTTGTGCCACCGGTACACACAATTTTTATCGGTATTACTCTCCTTTTTGTCCTTTCTTCTTCTTCCCTCATCGTCCAAATGGGCAACCCAACACTCCAACTGGGCCACCTCTTCCCTTTTCCTCCAAATCGGCAACGCACCGCCTTCATTTTCTCCAAACTTTCGAAGTCATTTGCTCTCCCCTCTTTCGTTATCCTTCTCTGATAAAGCAGCATGTGATAAAATAAAACAAAATAGGCCGAAGTTAGAGCAAATTTGATGGTGCGCAATCTGGCTTGTCCTAACTGTCAACGACCTTGCCTCTAACTGGAGCAATAGGAGGCTTGAAACGGAGAAGAAAGTGGAGAATCTCCAGGGAGGAATCTGGTGAGATTGCTCCGAAGCTCAAGTTAATATTCTTTCAAAGGCAAAATAAAACCAGATGGCGCAAAGTTCATACCTTGTTCTTGGGGGGTAGAGAGCCTTTTATAACCACTTCGCGCACTCACTCCTAAGCTTCTGTCAGGTCGGGTATGATTACTTCTGTGCTTCTGCCAGTTCGGGTGTCATCATCCCTGTTGGGGCAAAACCGCCACTACTCTCTTTGTCGGAGCCATCTCTATAATTGGAGATGGCGGTGGCAGGTGGCCGTTGAAGTGCGGCTGTCAAGCATCAGATCCAAAATCAGTCAGGTGCACCGCCCCTGGATATGGACTCCTTTGGTGTCAGGTACGGTGCGGTTTGTTTAGTTCGGCGCCTTGGAGGCAAAGTGCTAGAGTGGTGTGCGAGGTTAAGTCTTGAGTTTGGATAGAGGTGTGGCCCGAACTGCCATGGGGCAGGCCAGTTCGGGTTGTTGCCCTTTGTGTTCGTAAGGCTCGAGGCCTAAGGGAGAGCTCGGGCTTCTTGCAGGGAGTTCGGACAGCTGGTTCCCCCTTTTGGAACTAGTGCCTTGGCATGCTGTTGTGTCGAGCCGTTGCCTTTGCCACGTGTTGAGTGGTTACGAGGTCGGGCCAAATCTTCCTTCATCAATTGCCCCCCACTCCTTACGCTAAGGGTCTTGCCCTGGCGCGGGGAGTTCGCGAGGTGGCGGGTGGATTTGTCCCGTACTCTGAATTGGTTGGCTAATAGCGCGAGGTGCGTGTCGTCAGGATTTTTTCAGGTTTCTCGGGCGCTAAAAAGACGGGAAACACGCCAATCTGCCTATAAATGCTGAAAGACGTGACAGCGTGCGCTTTATTTCAAAATTCAAAAAGCGCACCGCTGGGAGACGTGACAGCGGGCGTCATTTTAAATTTAAAAACGCGCCGCTGCCGCCTTTAATGCGAGGGGACGTGCGCTGGCGCTCTTTTCAGTTTCAAGAGACGTGTGGCCAGTCACGTCTCGGTCTCAGGAGACGTGCGGTCAGCGCGACTGTGGGCCGTTGGATTGGCTTTGATCTGAGCCGTTGATTCTCGGTTATTGTGGGTATAAATAGTGGGGGACCTCAGTCGCTGTCATTATCCTGTGTTTTGCTTCTTGAGTTCGCGTTCAAGCCTTTAGCTCGCGTTCACATTCCCGTAGTCCGTTTGCTTTTTTCCGGGTGAGTACTTTCCTGGAATCCTTCTTCTCCTTCCGATGTCGAGCTCGGATAGCTTAGACAGTTCTTCAGGGTCGGATGCAGGTTCTATGAACCGAGTTGCATCCCTCGACAGTCCTAGTGCACCTGAAGTAGAACTCGATGAAGAGTTCGAACCCATAGGCCGAGTCGCCTCGGATAGTTTGGTGTCCTCCTCTCGTCGAGGTTGGACGTTAGACAAGTTTGGGCCCTTGACCAAAATGCCTGAGGGGCTTCACTCCCTTATTACCCAGTTCAACTTGCCTAGGGAGTACACCCACTTCGTACCCTCGGGCAGTTTCCCTTGGGAACACGGTCCTAATGAGATCGTGATATTCCAAAGGCAGCACGTTGCGGGGTTGCGCCTGCCTTTCTACCCCCTCATTGTCGAGGTTCTGAACCACTTCGGCGTTATTGTCGGCCAGCTTCACCCGAACTCCATTCGTAACTTGGTGGGGACAATCTCCCTATTTTGCGAACAGGTCTTGCCTTTAGACCTGGAGATCTTCTCTTTCATTTTAATGCTTAAGAAGCAAGCGGGTCCCCTTCCCAGGCGTAGGTAGGCGTATTACCTGTCTCCTCGCCCGGGTTTTAAGTTTTTACACGAACTTCCCAACAAGGTCCCGACGTGGAAATGGGACTATTTCGGGGTGCGAAGTGCATTGGGGTGGTCATTCCAAACTGGGTGGGGGATGGCCGCCCTTGACGCCGGTGTTACGCTTGATACGGAGACGGCAAAGGGCCTCCGGCAATGGGCACGGCTTGGGCTAAAATGCCATCATTATCTGTCGGAGGCCAAGCTCATTGAGGTCGGTCTGAGTTCGGGTAGGTTCCTTACTCAGAGGTTTGTCTTTTGTTTTGCTTTGTTCTTTCGTTTTTTTCTGATGCCGAGCTCGTTTTGCAGGTGTGATGGACTTAGAGAGGACTCGTGGTGGTTACCTGTTTCACGGCATGAAGAGAAGGAAGCGAGTCGCCAAACGAACACGTGCCAAGCTGCCCCGGGATGCGGAGCCCGAGGTACCAGACTACCCATCAGTGGATCCGCCCATGGAGCCCGAGATGGCCCCTCCAGTACATGAAGCGGTAGGGGCCCCTTATGCCGAGGCTACTTACACGGGGGCTCCCTCTTACTCTGAGTCTGCTTATACGCAAACTGGGCCCTCAGGCTCGGGAGCCCAAGGCGAGTTCAGGAGCGTGTTATTGTCGAACCACGCTCTTCAGAAAAGTAGGTAGGCCATCTATCCCGAGGAGGTCACGGCATGGACCGAGCTTCCTTTGAACCAGGTAGCTTGTCGTGCTGCCACTCATGCCATGGTGGTAAGTCCGATTTCTTATCGGGCTCTTTGCTTTTATCTTTCTTGCTATCGTTCTTTTGATCATTTGTTCTTTCCTTTTGGTAGGTGAATTCTTCTATCCATGCCTTGGCGGCCCAAGTGGAAAGGAGCTCGAGGCAGGCGCGATCTGCCGAAGAGGCTTTCCGTGTTGCCGAGGCAGCTTCCCGAGCTACTGA